TATAATATTAATTAATTATTTTATTTTGTAAGTTTCTTTTTATATTTTGAAATGCAATATATAAAATCTTCCTTTCTCTCTCTCTCGTTCGAATATGACGAAATACGAACAAAAATTCTTGTTTTTGCATTTGCTTTTGAATGCCAACGAGACTTTATACTTATACTCGAATCGATAGGTCAGTTTTGAAAAAAAACAGAAAAAAAAATTTAATCGCGCGTGCTGTTATTTCCTGGTATGACGAATAATCTATTTGATTATAAAATTAATCGACCGATAGTACTGTTGATATTTCCCTAATCACATCGTGCGGTAAAAAAAAAAAGAAGAAAAAAAACAAAAGAAAATAGTTAGTATCATGGGTAGGGAGAAAGGGGTGGGAATCTATGTGCTTTGATTTGTCAAATAAAGATTTAGTTTATCGTGACTTATAGATTAGATAACCGATATAGAATTATATTTTATATCTGTTTGTAGTCCTTTTGTATAGGACGATACCAATATGCGGTTTTTTCTTTTTTTTAATCTGTCATTTAATTGTAATAAAACGTGAGAACATTTGTAATTTAATCTTCTTTTTTCTTTTTTTTTCTCTAATTGTAAGATAAAAGAAATTTTCAAACGCACATATACGCACACAAATGCGCGCGCGCGATCATACATTCAACTTAGAACATTTTTTTATTTATTCTACGCGTTAGATAAATGAAAAATAAAATTATTGTGAAATAAATGATTTAATTATACGAATTTGAACATTATTTGATAACGCTTGATAGAAATAGTATTAATCTTTTTTAGGTATTTTTTCAAAGTATGTAGCTTCTTTACTAGATCATTTGGGTGATTTTTTAATTTGACTTTCTATATATTATCACACATTAAATATTTTCTTCTTCGATGGATTTGATTTTAAGTTCTCAGGTAATTTTTAGAATAAGTTTATCTTGAATTATTATTTTCGATCGTGCCTTCAATGAGCTTCACTTTAATAAATAGCATTTTCAGACTACAAAGATAAAACAGAGAAAATTAGTATTTGTTTAAGTTAAGGATCAATGTACATCGAGTTAACTGAAAAGTTTCCCAAGGGTTTCCCGATAGAAGTAACAAATTTGTAAAAGATACGAACGAACATATCGACTGAAAAAGGATTGTATCTGCGGGAATCTTACTCTTTGAAAACGATGTTTCCTAAATTTATTAACAGGATCAAATATTACGATCGAATTTCAATTTGATTTTGAAATAATAATAAGTAAAAAAAATACAATCATTATGACGGTATAACAAAAATGAGAAGGTCGTTTTGTTACTACATTTTCCAAGTAACCGATAAGACGGTGTCAAATTGAAAAGAAATAGGAAAGCTGACTGAAAAGTCATCTTTAAGAAGATGACTAGCACAAAATGCTTACGTTAATATACTTTCCTTAAAAAAGAAGAGAGCCTTGAAAGTTTTGAAACTTTTTACATTTACGATAGTCATGCTTATTTAATGTAAGACGTTTAAACGATTTCTGTATTAAAATCAAGTCTTCGAGAGCTAATGATAATGATCGAAAAATGTACAATAGTAATGTCACAATAATTATTGTCGTTATAACAAAACATAAGTACAAGTCGAAATATTAATACAAATCTAAATACACATACTGTCAGCATCAACATCATCACTAGGAAAAAAAACGAGTCACGTCACTAGTTACACAACCTTCCGCGTCGTTGCGAGTGTCAAAGAAGGAAGGAGTGATAGGGGGTGAGAAAGAAGAAGGGTGGGAAGGGACGGAAAACGTAACGCTTGCGCCCCGTAACCGCGTGGCCGCTTGAAAAGCGGCCACCTGTGCCCCCACCCACCCTCTTCATCCCTCATCGAAAGCACCATCGTCGCGGCAGCTTTCCCCATATATATAAAGGGATCCACGGTGTCTCTACACTTCGCATCATTACCGCGGTAACGTGCGACGATTCACCTAACCAACGGACGCTGATCTTACTTCTTCTTTTTCTTCTTATTCTTATTATTATTCTTCTTCTTCTTCTTGCTACAACATATTATATTGTCACCTAGTTAAATCTAGTTTTTATTTTTAAATCTAATACAATTACATATCATCTTTCTTCGTTGGTAATCTTTTTTTTTTCTTTCTAATTCCAATTATCCGGTTACCTCAGCGAACTCTCTCAAGTAAGTAAACTGTTATTTTCTAAATTGGTTCTTTTTTTTCTTTTTGCTATTTCTTCATTTTAAAAGCATCTAAATAGGGCTAATTCTTTTTTTTTAATTAAATCGAACCTCGTTACAATAATGTTGACACCTGTTAGCAAACACATTTTCTTGATTTGGGTTTCTTTTCTGTGATCGAATTTATTATAAAATTATTTATAAAATTATAAAGAAATAGCGTACGTTAATTCAAAGTTTGATATTAATTTATTTTTTTCTTGATAATTGTTCAAATAGTTTAGATGTAAAATTTCGTTTACCTTGATCGATATATATACCTAAATAATTAATTTTTTGTTTTCCTTAAACTTAAAAATACTTCCTACTCCTAATGTTAATTAAAAGGGATAGTAATTTGGAATGACACGCAACTTTCAAACTTGAAGAAACATTAGGAAATTAGATTGGCAAACTCGTTGAAAGTTCCTTTATCTCTCTCTCTCTCTCTCTCTCTCTCTCTCTCTCTCTCTCTCTCTCTCTCTTTCTTTCTCTTTCTAATTTCACCCTCTTTCTCGTAATTTTATAATACTCTCTTTAAAAAACATCGTTTGTCATTATCACATTTTCATTCGCGTTAAGAATACGTCGAGATTTGTCACTATTATTTTCTCTTATTTACCAGTTTATAAAATTTTAATTAGTTTACAAATTATTAAAGTACGATTAACGATTTACTAAGGACGCTTGTAAGGTGTCTTGTAACTGGCACGGATGTCTGTTTTCAACATATGCTCGGGAGACGCGTTAATATGAAAATTGCAAACGTACTGAAGTAACCGAGAATCTATGCAAAAGTTATTACAAAAGATGGTTAAAGATTAATAGGAATTTGTATTATTTATACGATGGTAGTATGATTTGATATAGCTGACAAAACAAAATACGAAATAGTAGTTATACGATACATTTGAAAATAGATCGCATCTATATGCATCTGTATGCATCATTCTATCCAATACATACACTTACATATATGCATTTACTATGTATGCGTAATCGTTACAGACACATACATTGTTAGAAGTTCAAGCAACGATTTTTTTTTTTTAATTAAAAAACAACATCGTTTCTATTCCATCAACATTTTAACAACATCAATTCCATTTGTTTATTCATTTATTATTCTTTATTGATTGACACTATCGAAAAAAGAAATTGATTTGAGGAAACATCCCCTATCAATACAAAATTCCCCCTTTTTTGTTTAGTTGCATTTGCTCGATAAGCCGATGCATGTGGTTTCTGATGGATGCCATGAACAACAAATTCGTCGCTCGTTCGGAAAATATTAATTCGGTCATTGTCGTAAAAAATCATCCAATAAAAAATAATATACTTTTTGATACTTGTATACTTGGTTTCCTTCCTTCCTCTTTGGCTTATGTTGCCTACTCGATCTGAGAATAGTCATTTTTCTAAATATATCCCCTCTGATCGTAAACAGTGATTACGGTTTTTACTTGAGCGTACTTCTTTATGGGTTACGTCAATATAAAGTTATAGGTTCGGGAAATATCGTTTTTTTACTATCGAACGATAGTCTCTAACATAAGTCTATTCACAAAGAAAGACAATCAATTGTATTGAACATCCTTATATGCGTGTAATAATTTTTTTTTTCAAAATTTTTCTTTTCGATTCTGCAAAAAATTATTCATATCTAAATAATAATTGTTTCGATCAATTTAATATTTGGATCGTTTAATTTAAAAGTGGCGTAAATTCATTTTTCTTTTTTCAAATGAGATATATAATTTGTGATTAATTTATAATGTAAATTTTGTATTTAGAACTAGTTAATATTTAATATCTTTAAAAATTCTCAATAGATTTTTCCTATTAAAATTCCGCAAACGGGAAAAAAGTGATCTTTTTATTTTTAAAAAAGATTTATCAATGAATACAAAGAGTACTAATTAAATTTAGTATTGTAGTTTTGTTTTATTCGCAGCTTAAATTGATTTTAATTTCAGCCCTCTCCTTCCCGCCGATACGGTCTCCCTTTGTTTTCTTTTCAATTCTTTTTGATTTTTTTGTTTGTTTTGACTTCAGGGAAAGTAACTTTATTCTCGGAAAAGTGATTTATTCTTTGCAAACGTTTGATGAGTTTTTTGCTTGTGGATTCCCGCTGAAAAGCGTCACTTGTTGCCCTTTGACCGATCGATTCTTTTTAATATTCATTCGCTTATTTGTAAAGACAAAAAAAAGAGAAAAAAGGAAGATATCAAATTGTTTTCTAGATTTATTAAGATAATTGCAATTGTGTGAATTTTTTTATTTTCTTTTATCACATTTTTTCGTAAAATTGTTTTTCATGGGTCAACCTTAAGAAGACAAGGAATTTTTCATAAAGAATAATTTGATAATAACATAGGAAGAGTATATATATAGTAATATATGTGTAAATGTTATTATTTTATTATTATATATATAAATACACTTAAATGACCGTATATTATTTCCCGTAAGGCTTACTCTCTAATCGGCAATTTTTTCGTTTAGAAATGAAAAACAAATACATGTGAATTGAATAAATATTATAAAATATTAGTAGAACAATATCTACGTTGAAATCGATTGGTTGTTATTACATTTTATGTATGTATTTACATTTATTTTATGTATTAGTCTATTGAAAAACGTATGATTAATTAAAAAGTGTAATTATTCATACAAACGATAACAGTATGAGATAATGAATCATTTGGAATGCAACGTATTAATTTTTGTTACACGATCTGAATAGATATCACATTATAGATTTTGTTTGATGGATTTTTTATTTTTTTTATTTTTTTATTTTTTACACTTGTTTCTCCATCATTACGTTAATTCAATATTAAACACAAAATGTTGCGAATAATCGAATAAAAATCGATGAAATTTTATCAAGATTTTTTTTTGCCGACAATAGGACGAACGTCATATACATTTTTTTTTTATATTTACATAAAAAATTGATGTTAATATTTATATATGTATAAGTATCACGGATTAGAAGATAAATTACAATGTCGACACGTTACAATGATAATATATAAAAATTATATTGCTAGGGGAT